ACTAAAACACAAAACAACAAGTCAATTCAATTCAGCCATTTCAGCTGTAACCGAAAGGACTCTGAGGGTATTTGGAAAACTTAATCGTCAACCAATGATGTACCTACATTTGATGTCAATGCCGGGGTATTTTTGTTATTGTAAAACTTAATGTCTCCTTGCGTTCTTTGGCTGAATCCATGTCTAATTCAAGATTGATGTCAAATTCATGAATAGGATGCAGTAGGCTGCTGCAGTGTACTTTTTTTTATTTGTATTTTTCTGTTTATTTTTTTTATTTGTACTCCTTTAGATTAACAGAAAAGTCCAATTTCCCCCAAAAGATGCAATAGGGAATACCTTACCACAAAAATTTCTTTTAGTTCGGAATGGCATATCCAATTAGAACTAGCAATAAAATATACTCTTATTAATGTTTTTATGAGTTTCCATATAAGCTTTTTCGGAAGTCATTTAAATGGGTAAATGCATTTATCCGACACTTGGTGAGGTAAGTGTGTTTACCCATGTTTTATTATTTTTCGACCATATTATCCATAAAAACATTTATTAAAAGGAGTAATTTTGTTTAAGGGTGAGAATTATTTGGTTAATTCGGTTAGCCAAACTTTTTATTATTATATATAGTATATAATAAACCTATTCATGGGTCGGGTCGGGCTTGGCTTTTGCCAAAATTTGAATGGGCCCGGCCCGAAGCCCAACCCTTGAACAAGTCCAGTATATAATATGTAACATATGTTATATAATATATTATATATTTATATATAATATAATAAAAATTGATTTCATAATATATAATATATATAATAAAGTATATATTATTAAAATTTGGTTTTAACTGAAATAACCAAAAACCGAACCGAAAATTTCAGTTTTGGTTATTTCGGTTTTTCTATAATTCGGTTTCGGTTTTAGTTTTTTAGTTTGGTTTTGAAAACTTCGGTTTATTTGATTCGTTTTTTAATCGAATAAACCGAATGCTCACCCCTAATTTTGTCTCATCCAAACACTAACAACTTTCAATCCAATTGAAAAGAAAAGCAAGTTGGTTTCATTTCAAAAAAAAAAACTAACTCATATTTTTGAAAGATGATTCTTAAAACAAACAAATAAAAAAAGTGGTATAGATACCATCGGACATGTTTAGAAGCAAGTTGTTTTCAAATTAACCAGATAGTTTTGATTTATTTTAAGAACTAGCAACAAGGAAAAAAAGTTCACATTGGAGAACATCTCCTAAAGCAGTTCTGTGTCAGTATGATCCTCACAACACTACAAAAACATTGAAGAGAACAAATAATAATTCAGAGAACGTTCTTCAACGAGAACTGTTTTTTTCTTATTGTAAGTAATAATTGGGTTTTAAAACAAAAATACAGAAAACATGCTCTTGGTTAAATGTGTGCTTTCATTTCCAAAATTAAAACAAAAAAAAAAACACGTTCTTGAATTTATGATTTTTAGAGTTCAATTATATTGCATTCACCAATATTGATTGCACGTTAAATCTAGTTGTCAACAAATGACGTTAAAATTTGCTTACTTTTATTGGTTCACTTTTCACAAAGTATATTTTTATATTTAACAATGTGTACTTATCATTACGTTAAACCAATCATGTATTTTGCTGCATGGTACGATGGATGCACCATAGATTTCGTTGATTATTTAAACATGTTCCATAAAGCAACCAACCTGCTTTTTATTTTTTTAAAACAAAAATACAGTTCAAGAAGTGGTTTATTTTTATGCTGATATGATAATTTAAAAAACAAATGAAAAGTAAAACATTCATGTTGTTTAACATGTTTGGGTGATGGTTGAGCTGGCCAAAGATGTCACATGGCGATCTCCATGGCCGCCCCCTTTTAGGCCACACCAATGCCACGCATAATGGAAGAGCACGACTAAGGAGTGTCCTTCACGGACAAGAAAGCGAATTCCACTAGGGAAGAAGGAACCTTCCAAAGACCTCAGCGAACGCTCTCATCTCGACAATCCTGGAAGCCCTATCCATCTAGGACACGGATGGCCAACTATAAGTAGGTATTCCCTGCTCAAGGTAAGGGACTTTTGGGAACCACACTCTTTGAATACCTCTTTGCACTCTCTTTGACTTAGACCAGCACTATCTTAACTTGCTCATCCTGGCCGCATCATTCTCTACCCTATTGACTTGAGCGTCAAAGTACCTACCCAAGGAACAACTCCTCGGGCCTTTGACTCTTACTTTGGTTGCAAATCTTAGTGTGTGGTTTCGTCCTTCACCTCGGCCTCATCCAGTTGATATGACTATCTAACTGCATCCTCGGTTCGAAATACCTCAGATCGAACAGCATTAAAATTAGGGTTGTTCACGAGTCGGGTTGGGTCGATTTATTGTGATTTTTCCAACCAACCCGACCTGGTCGGGTTACCTGACATAGAAACCGAAACCGAACCAGTGTTAAGCAAAACCGACCTGGTTAGTTTGAATTGGGTTGGGTCGGTTTCGGTTCTAAGTTCATCCCTGTGATAAAATCTTGTTAATTTTAAAAACAGTCATAAATTGAACATCATTTTAGCCATCTCCTATGATAAAATTTAAATGAAAAGTTAATCACAAAAGTTGTCATTAATCACTATTCACTAATCCAAAGTTTCTTGCAACCATTCAAAAATTAGGTGGCCTAATGGGCTTTGGAACTTCATGTTTAAACTAGGAACTAAGTCGATTCAGTTTGGGTCGGTTTTGGTTTTCTTGTGAAAACCAAAACCGACCCGAATCATCGGTTTAGGAATTTGCACAACCCGAAACCGACCCATGCTGATGAAAACCCGGCCGACTCAAGTTGGATCGGTTCGGATTGGTCGGTTTGATCGAGTTGGGCCTTCTTATGAACAGCCCTAATTAAAACACCCCCTCAAACAACCCAACCCAGCATAGGATATTACCACTGCATCAAACAATCGCACCAATCCTACGATTCATCTCAATATCAAAGTGTTAGAGTCCCCTCAATTGGTGCCTCATTGGACTCCCCCAACACCAAGCTTTCGAAAATTTAATTATGATGAGGTTACAAGGCTCAGATGTTTTGCTATTGGTGTTCTGGTTTGTGATTGTAAGGGTTCATTTGTTTGGGGTAGGGCCTAAAAACTGCCTACTCTCTTGGCTTTAGAGATTAAAGCAGAGTCTCTCTACTTTGCTCATGAGTTGGAGGTTGATAGTATTATTTTTGGTGATTCCTCTTCAAGTTATCTCTCTTCCATCGGAGGACTTCAGGCTTAGGTTGGAAGGAGTACAAATACAAATATGTAAAATGCAAAATCTTGTATTTTGTAGGCATTTGCACTGCACATTTTTGTATTTGTATTCCTTTCAAACTGAGCCTTAGGGCTGATCATGGGCCAGGCGAGTTCACATCCCGCGGTGTATTGGGAACATCTCTCGATGATAGTATCAGTCTCAATGATGTCATTATCGAGAGGCGTTCCCAATATATGGCGAGAATGTGCTGTGGGGCGGAGATATGATCGGGCCAGGCGAATTCACATCCCGCGGTGTATTGGGAACATCTCTCGATGATAGTATCAATCCCAATGATGTCATTATTGAGAGACGTTCCCAATATATGGCGAGGATGTGCTGTGGGGCGGAGATATGATCTCAGGCCATGCCGCATCAACATTGGGTCAGGCTTTACAACTATGATAAGGGGCATAGCCCAAATCCAAGCTAGATGTCTAAACCTTTAGGCCCTGTCTGCATTTGGGACAAATTGCATTAATTTAACTGCTTTGGTTGAGCACCCATGTTCCAGATAAATTATTCAGAGTAACTTCATGTTAGTCATGATTGGTACCCGGGCTTACTACATTAGTTTACTTAATATGTAGTGTAGTCTCCTAAATACCTTGTACAGGCAATACCTTGGCACATTGGGGTCGGATCTGCTACCCACAAGGTGTTCCCACATCCTTACCCACGGGACATGGACATTACAGTTGTGCATCGGGAATTTCTCCCTTTTCATTTAATGGGAGATGCTCCCAATTCACAACTGTGGTAGTTCGTGGGTAGAGATGTGGGATTTGTGGGTAACAGATCCGGAGTGTGCAATAAGTTGCCTGCGTTTCTTTTTTTGGTTAAATATTTGGGCCCTGCTGGGCCAACGAATTTCTGGGCCTAATGTGGCCCAAAGACCAGGCCAGGCCTGAACACAGAACTTAAGCCTAAACTAGAAAATTTGCAGGCAGAGCCGGAGATGATAACCCCTACAATCAGAAGATTAAAAACCCTAATATGAATCCTTAATATTATGGTCTTCACTAAACAATCATCGATCACCATAAACCACCACAATTTCCAATTTGGTCACCAGGTCAGCGGTTTGACCATCAGTCCGAACGATGGCCTGTTCCAATTCTAAAAAATAAAAATAAAAAATAGTCAAAAATCATTATTTGAATCAAACGGGATATGATTCAATTACCTAAGTCGCTGACAAAATCAACGGTTTTAGTGAAGTTCTGATTCAGGAAACTAGTTGCTTGGACAGTTTCCAGGCGGAACGATCCAACTGTCCACTCTAGATTGGTTTCAACCATTGTAACAGACTCTTCACTGAGCTAATGAATGAATTGAGTTTTCTTTTCCTTTTTCTTCTTTTTACCTAAAAAACACAATTTCCAATATCAGGCAAGGCGGAGAGAGAAATAAACCTCAAGAGCTGAAATGCTGAATCTCCTTATTCACATACTATTTTTTTTAGCCCTAAATTACATGGTTCAAATCCCAAAGTAAAGAACTCTTCCCTCTCCCTTATGTTGTGTTTGGTTTCATAAAAAAAGTAGGGAAAAAAACGAAAAGTTAAGGAATTCTTTACAAACTTTCTATAAATTTCCCTATCTTTTCCTTCCTTTCCCCATTTTTTTCTTCAAACCAAACATAGCCTTTGTTGTTCAGACAATCTGGTTCTATCGAAAACACACAATTTCCAAAGGAAAGGTGGAGAGAGAAGTAAACTTGAAGTATTTATCAGAGCTGAATCCTTCTTCACAAACTACTTTATCAAAACAAAACTGAGGCCTAAAGGCTAAAACCCTAAATTACATGATTCAAAGCTCAAAGCAAAAAATAAATAAATAACCCTAATTTATTCCCTCTTTACCTAGATTCAGTCTCAAGAAATTAGAAAAACAAGATGGCATCAACGCAGCCGCCTGGCTTCTCTTTCTGATTCAAGCAGGGTGAGAATGTCACCCTCACGGACAGGTCCCTTGCGGACAGGTCCCTTGACATTCCTCATGATGAGACGGTTCTGATCGTCCAGAAACTTGACTCTGACTTGTGTCACCTGCCCTCTCGATCCGGTTCGACCCATCACCTTAACCACAATTGCTAGCTTCACTTGCGAATCCATGTTTTCCTTCTAAAAAAATTCAGCTGGTTGGTTGTTGTTGTGCTGAAAAATTAAGCACTAATTCAATGTTTAATTAAAAAAAACAACCCTAATTAGAATGACTACCGAATGAGAGAATCTTACCACAGTGAGTGAGACCGAGGATGGGTTTATATATATAGAGTCGGAGTGTCTGACCAATACAGAAAATTAGAATCCAAATAGAAACCAAATCCCAATATTCCAATCCCAGTCGAATTAAAATTCTTTGATTTTTTTGTAATTTCCAATTTTTTGTTAGTTCCTTATTAGGTTGCTTTACAGAAATAATAACATACAACAGATGCATTGAACGCATGACCACTAAGCAATATTTATGTAGTAGGTTAGGAAATTGTTGAATCAAATTTGATTGGAAATACTAGAAATCAGGTTGGTCAATTTCATTAATTTGATTAGGAATGGAAATAAGGCGGGGCGGGGATGAGGAGCATCTCTCCATCCCAGTCCCCATCCCTATCCCCGCTAATGGGGACAAAGTTATCTATATCCCCGTCTCCATGGGGATCTCCATCCCCACAGGGATCTCCACTCCCCATGATTCCTTATAATGTCAACTATTATGTTCTTGTTTTTTATTTTATTTTATTTAAAAAATAAAAATAAAATAATTAAAATTTACAATCCTATTAGAAAAGATTCAAACATATTTAACCATATTTTTAAAAATGTTAACATATAGACGTTCTGTACATATATACATATATAGCATATGCGTATATATAGATATATATTAGCGGAGATCCCATGGGACGGGTTTTGGGGTCCCCATGGGGCAGGGAGTGCTCTCCCTAACCTCGCCAATAGGGATGAAAATTTTCCCATTTCCGCCCCTGTGGGGGAAAAATCATCCTCATCCCCACCTCATTTAAGGTAGATTCCCACAGGGATCATGGAAATGAGGAAAATTGTCATACCTAAGTTTGATAAACAACCCTATCTAAAATTAATTATTGTTATTTTTGTTTTGTAAAAAAACTATTAAAAGTATAATATAAAATATAAATGATTATTAATTATTATATAAAACAATTGTATACTCTTACATGTTTCTATTATTTATTTTTAACTTAACAAGTCATGTGCATCACATAGGTCCCCGCTAGTGATATATGAAAAACTTCAACCGATTAGAAACCCACGTGAATTTGAATGAAGGCCATTTGATTGGTGATTTAGGTAAGATACATTTTTTGGTGCTAGACTTCTACATTGAATTCCCTTAATCCAACTCTTAAGCCATAATTTTCAGATTATCAAAGAAAAGTAAAGAGATTAAAATTTGCTAAAAAAATCAAATTTGAATCCTTTGGTTATGAGCAAGGTTCAAAATGTCACGGTTTGTCGATGTATATCGTACAATATGTATTGCTTGATTTTCAAGGTGTTTGATACACTAAATTCCTAGAGTTAGAGCCTTTTAATGACTTTAAGCATTAAATCTATCTTATTTGTTTTGTTTGTATAGTATTAAAAAAACTAAGCATTGAACTGCTGACATGCTTGATATTGAGTATTGAGCATATTATGAACCATTGTTTAAAAAATCAATCGTTACACTGTATTTCGATAACTTGTCATAATTATATTGGTTGGTTCAAAGTATTAATACAAAATGCTTGGTATCAGAAATAGACCTGTTTATGGGGTTGGGTTTCGGGTCTAACTTTACACTGCATCAGGCTCAGGCTTCGGGCCGGGCCTATTTAAATTTTGGCAAAAGCCAAGCCCGAGCCCAACCCTTGAGCAGGTCTAATTGGGCATATTATATCATTTCGGAAGGTCACCGAGATGTCTTTCTTAAGGTGTTTTCAAAATGTCATGTTTTTAAATTCTAAATAACAATATTATCACCCCCTTGAAATCATGGAAGTAAAAAAAAAGTTTCTCATTCACCCCACAAACTCAATTGGCATGTTTGTGCGCATCAAATGTATGCTACTTTGAACCATGGTTTTAAAATCGGATTAGACTAGACAATCGAACCAGAAAACTTGGGAACTAGTCGGGTAACCAGTTCCGTTTCACCCTAAAACCATTTAGTGGCCAAAATCCGTTGATTTGATCAGCAACCACTGACCCAAGTGGTCAAACCATCGATCCGCCAACAGGACAACGGTTTTTGGTCATTTTTTATTTTTTAAGTCAGAACAAATTGTCCATTCAAACCAGACAATTGGATCATTCAACCCGAGAACAAGTCCTAGAATGGTTCCCTATCTGATCCGGTTTTAAAAACCTTGCTTTGAACTTTTCACATACAAGTTTTAACTTTTAGGCATCTTTTATTACTATACCGATCCAAGAATTAAAAAAATAATTACCAGAATTTAATATATAAATATATTAACAACAATTATGTTGATATCTTATGCATAAGAATATGTTGGTATGCTGATATCTTATGAACAATTACTGAAAAGAAATCAATATACAATTTGTTGAGAGCAAAGAAGATGTCTCCCCACTTCATATTCAAATTACAAATTACAAAACCACCCAGAATAATGACGTTAAAAGTAGAGCAATGTTTAGTTGAACAATTTAGTTGTTCAGCAAGCTTTGGAACCATTGATAAGATTTCACGCCAGTAATAAAATACATAGGGCCCACACCTTTCACAGTGGGGCTCATGAATTTATTATTAGCGTGGAACCTCATCATTGATTCCACAACCTATGAACAATCAAAGTGTTTAGCTAATCCAAATTCATTACAGTAATAGTATGTTTCCAATTTTTTTATTTGTATGTGAATAAAAATAATTCTTATTTAAAACTTATTTTTGTTTATTATGCTAAATATATGGTATTAGAAATCTGCCCACATAATTTTTACAAAATTTGTATGTTTTTGCATATGCTTTTTTTTGTGTTTTTATCATCTTTTAATTTCTTTGATAGATTGAAAATAATTACAACTAGTGGGGAGATGATTTATCCCAAGTGTTCAGAAACATCGTGCTTTAATTTTTATTACTTAATTATGATATCAAGGGTTGATACATTTTACCTAGAAGGTTGAACCCTTAACCTACCACCAAACAAGAAAACAATTTCTCTTTTAGTTGTAAATTTGTATTTCAATTCCATCATTACTAAAAACAATTCTTGCTCATCACACTTATTTTTCTTTAGTATCTATCCCAAGTATTCAGAAACATCGTCTTTTAATTTTTATTACTTAATTATGACATCAAGGGTTGATACATTTTACCTAAAAGGTTGAACCCTTGACCTACACCAAACAGGAAAACAATTTCTCTTTTAGTTGTAAATTTGTATTTCAATTCCATTATTACTAAAAACAATTCTTGCTTATCACACTTATTTTTCTTTAATATGATTAATATAAACATTAGAGATGTACCCAAATGTTTTCTACATTTTTTTGTGTTTTTTATATTTTTCTAATTCTATTGTTTTATTAAAGTATGAAGGGTTGACACATTTAACCAAAAAGGTTGAACTGTTAACCCACCACCAAATAAGAAATCAATTTCATTTTTGGGTTGGTTTTAATATTATTAATATAAAATGTTAGTGAATTTATATATTTTACATATTTTGTGTATTTATCTTTTTCTTCATTTGTATTATTTAATACCGATATCAAGGGTTGATGCATTTGACCCAAATGGTTGAATTACTAACTTGCTACCAAGATAGAAGACAATTTCATTTAGGACTGTACACAGGTTGACTTGGTTTGATTGCTCACAATTTTATCAACCAAATCAATCAATCAGGTAGAGGTTTTCACCGTTTGAAATAAACCAACCTTGGATGAAAACCGACCACTCGGGTTAAGAGTTGGGTTCTCAATTTGGTTGGTTTTAAACTCAATCAACTATTGACAATAAAAAAAAAAAAGCCTCACTTGACCTGGAACAAAAAAGAGGTTGTACAACCAAATAACATTTCAGGTTTCTATTAAAAACGATAATATCAACAAAAAACTTCATTGACTTGAATAAAGAAAGAACCTACACAACCAAATAAAACGATCTACATGCAGTTTTTACAACAACAACAACAAAATGTTTCATACGTGTATGATGCCAAGTGGCATTTTTATATAAGTAAATAATATAGGCATGTCATGTGACATTTGAATATGAGTCATTAATATATAGATGCCATGGGCATCTTATATGAATGTCACGTGGCATTTGAAGGCAAGTCAATGTTATTATGCCACATGGCAGCATATATGAATACCATGTGTCATATAAGTGTCATTAATTATACTCAAACGCCATGTGCATTTGAAAAAATAAGTTAACGATACCACATATTATGTGGCACTAAGTACATTAATGTGCATATGCTTTCATGTGGCATTCATATATACACTACCACGTGGTGGTTGATACAAACATTTTAAAAAGTATAAAGTATGTCAAAGATCCAAAAAGCATGAAGTATCAAAAGTGACTTCGTGTTTTTTGTACTTTTACTCTATGTTTTTTGAAAATAAAAAACACCACAAATAAATGTGTTCTTGTATTTTTCATGCTTTCAAAAGTACCACCAAACAATGCCTTAGGCTACTAAAATGGCATTGGTTAAATAGCACTTGATTCCTTCAAACCTTAGAAAAGTAGTCTCTAAAAGAGTAAAAACAATTAATTAAGGAGCGAAATAGAGAGAGAAAGTACAAACGTTTCAACTTTTGTCTATAATACTAGACAACTATATATACTAACACATAGTCGATTCAGATCAGTTATTTTTGGTTTATAAACTTATAAACAGAACAAACCATTCAAGTAATGCATATTAATGAATCTAAACCAACCCAACAAGTTTAAAAACTAGCCATATTGAATCGAGTGTTTTGTCGATTTGGTGACTTTTTTGAACAGTCCTAGTTTCACTTTTTTGGTCGATTTTAACAAAAAAATGGCTTTATATTGTTAAAAGTATTGAATATATACATATATCCATTTGATAGAATTTATTAGTAAGAAAAAATAACTTAAACATTGATTCAATGGAGGGAACGAGAGTTAATACCTTAAATATAAGACTTAATGAGAATGAATAGAATGGGATGAAAATTAGCGAGGATTGGGGATC